TCTCTCTCTCTCTCTCTCTCTCTCTCTCTCTCTCTCTCTCTCTCTCTGTGTGTGTGTGTGTGTGTGTGTGTGTATACACAAGTCCTGGAAATAGAACACTGGGTGGTTGAGGTTTATTTACAGGTGGTTCAAAGTCACCAAACTTGGGTGTTGGGAACTGAACTCAGGTCTTCTGCAAATGGAGTACATGGTCTTAACTGCTAAACCAGTCCTGGCCCTGGCCTTCCATTTCATGGGTGGAACAGATCAAACTCAGGTCTTCATACTTGCAAAACAAACATACTGCAGACTGAGCCGTCTCTCTCAGCCCTTATACCACCTTCTTATTCTACTATTGGATCAGATTCAGAGGGGATGGTTGTTGGAATTTTCTTTGATTTGACAAGATCCCAAATAAAAGCATAATTATTTAGTATTAATTATGGATGTTCAGCCTCCAGTGCTCTCCTATCAGCCCTTGCTGCCCCCTCATGGCTGTCCCATCAGTCCCCTCTTCCCCTCCAGTGCTCTCCCATTAGCCTCCTCTTCCCCCCAGCGCTCTCCCATCATGCCCATTCCTTTTATTCTTCTTACTGCCTGATCCACCATCAAATCCTCTTCCTCAGACATGGACTCCTATTTTCTGCTACCAGCTCTGACCTTGAGTGACTCTTAACTCCATTAATCTCAACACTTTAATTCCTAAATGGCTAAGGCGGCTCCAGATTAAGCTTTGGAACTTGTAGTACTACTGATTCAAGAGTTGTAGTTGAAGGGCTAGAGAGATAGCTCAGTCAGGAAAGTATGAGGGTGAGGTTGATCATCCAAACCCATGATAAAAAAGTTATGTGTGGTGGTGCACATGTTAAAAAGAAAGGCAGACCTGTGAAACCTGATGGCTACCAAGCCTAGTCTATTTGGTAAGATTCAAACCAGTAACCAATGATGTATGTGTGTGTGTGTGTGTGTGTGTGTGTGTGTGTGTTTGTGTGTGTGTGTGTGTATGTGTGTGTGTGTGTGTGTGTGTGTGTGTGTATTTGTGTGGTGTTAGGGGAAAACCAGTTGACCTCCAACATCCATGTGTATGTGAACATGTACACAGTTACACTGAACTAAAAAAAGCAGAAAGACTGCAAGGAGCCATGACAGTGGGAACTAGGCAGCTTGGGCTAGAGTTTCAGATTTCCCTACACCACCTCTGAGCCTTTCTGCCTCTCCTAAACGCCCATGGGCTGACCTCCTGATGGCTGTACAATAAGTTCTCTTATGCACAGATTCCCAGTGTGGTGAGTTTGAGGTAGGACACAGATCAGGTAACTTAACCTCTTCAACTCCCTCCTATGTGCCTCCAGGTGGGTAGTGGCTCCCAGAAAATTGCAGCTTCTTTCTGGAAGTTTCTTCCACAGCCATGACTACAGCTTCAGCTCTACTCTTGAAATTTCCACCAACCACAAGGTGCTTCTTCAGCATCCAGAACAGTGTTGGTAGTACCTGAGTACTACTGCAGTTTCTGTTGTTTTCATTAACTGTGAATGTCTGGGGGGTGCAGATGTCAAAGGGGTGCCTCCTAGACTATCCTCCTGGCTGAAGACACTGGCCTGCCTCCAGAAATGGCTGTGAAGTGGTGAGGACCATTGCTCATGTGGTAGGGCACTTTTGTATTATACACAAAACTCTGGGTTAGATTCCCCACACTGCATGTACCATGTAAAGTCCCAGCACTCAGGAGGTAGAGGCAGGAGCCTCCACCACACAGTTCAGTGGTTTTCAGCCTTCTCAGTGATGTGACACTTTGATATACTTCCTCAGCTGTGCTGACCCCGGCCCTGAGATTATTTCGTTGTTACTTTAGAACTGAAATTTTACTATTATAAATAATGATAAGGTAAATAGCTATGTTTTTAATCTGCTTAGGCATAAACCCAGGTAGAGAACCCTAGAAATAGTAAGTTCATGGCCAGTGTGGAATACAATGAGAACCTGTCTGAAAAACAAAACCCAACCAAAGATGTTCCCTCCGCTACCCAAAGACAGAGACCTCCCCTTCAGGTAACCTCAGGCCTCTGACACATGACATGTGGGATTATTTTCTCTAGTGCCCTCAGGCTTCACTGCTCTGAGACTAAAGACACCTCCTGTACCAGTCCAAGACACAGATTCTTCTGCTCCTCAGTGACCACAGAATAGCAGGACAGGTGTCCTCTGTAGGGTTGGGTTAAGAGCATGAAGTGGGGGTCAGAATGGTCATGGCTTTCCATGGGGCCTCAGTGTTGTTTCTGTTGCTGATTCCCTGAGGTGAACTCAGTGGTTTCACCACTCTTGACCTGTGCTTGGTGTCCCCAGGGAGTCATTGGTGAACCACGGGGACATCTTGAGCCTGACATCTTCCTCTGCATGGTGAATATCCCCAAACTGATCTGGAGGTAAGAGAGCAGAGATGACCAACCCCACTGTGAAGGATAACTGTATCCTAATCCAGTCCACCAATCATGCATCTACTATGACTTAATTCATCATGTTTTGTCCAACATGACAAGCACAAAGAATCACAACTGGGAACCTCTGAACCAAACTCAAGTGTGTGGCTCGACATATGGGGCCTGAGAGTTTTCTTGTAAGAAGCCATCAGCAAACTTAGACATGGCTGCTCCACTCACTGCCTTGTGAATCTCTGTGTGTCCTTGTGAGTCTGTGTGAGTTCCTGAGTATTTTTGAGCCTGTGAATCTGTGTGTGAACCTGTGAATCTGTGTGACCCTGTGAGTCTGTTTGCCTGTGTGTCGGTGTGTGAAGCATGAAAACCTGATGTATTCATCTAAACCCCAATGTCCCCCAGTTGTAGTCTATTGGGAGTTTACTGTTGGGAAGAGCTGAGACTTTTATCCTGGCAAGCAGGTATCCATTACCTGAGGAGGGACATATCACATGAAGGGCAAGGATGGGAAATTCTTCAAGTGATACTGAAGCTTAGGAATTGTTGGAGTGGGGTGTAAACACAGGGTGAGCACCAGATGCCAGGAGACCCAGCGGGAGTCATAACCTCTGCCTTGGTCTTGTCACCAATCTACCCAGGCACCAAATCTGTGCTTGCTTGGCCGTTAGGAAATCAGAGTGGCCTTATCAGGAAGAACCTTATGATTTCTCTGGGGTTCAGACCACAGGGTTCCTTGGAGATATGGGGGTCAGAGAGGAAGCCTAGACCATGGACTTCAGCCCCATGGAGACAGAGGACATATTCTCTCAGTCCACAGACATAGAGGAGCCCCAAAGCCAAGCCAGAGAATGTCAGTGTACAGTTCAGCATCCTGCCTAGAGCTCATGGTAGGGCAGAGGGGCTCAGCGATTGCTGATGCTGAGTGTCCTTCTGTCCCCAGAACCACAGAGAACCAGTGCAGGGGGATTCCTGTTTCTGTCACAGATACCCTGAGGTGAACTCAGAGGTTGCATCACTGCTGACCTGTGCTTGGTGTCCCCAGGGAGTCACTGGGGAACCATGGGACATATTCTACCCTGTCATTTTCAACTGCATGATGAATGTTCCCAAACTGATCTGGAGGGAAGAGAGCAGAGATATGTTTCCCAGCATATGGTACTGAAGGGTGAAGCTACAGGGGGTAACCAGGAGAACAGCCACCATGCCCACAGGATGCCATCTGATATCTGTCACCATCAGTGCTGCCATCAGGAGGTGCACTAAGGCAGCTGTGGCCTAACTGCCAATGGGCAAGGGGTTGACATCCACTGGGCATTCACAAATGGCTTCCACTTGTACCTGGAAATTTTGGGCTTGTAGCAGTGTGACACCACACTTGATTAAAGAAGCTGGGATTAAGTGTGAAAAGTTGGAAATTGCTTTTTTTATTAGAAAAGAATACAAAACGGGCTTTTAAACAGTATTGAACATAAACAGTGAATAAACTTTGAAAATTATGGAACTAATAGCAGAATAAATAACACCAAAATAGCAAAACAAAAATCAAACGAACCACAAACAATATCTAACACAAAAACCAAACAAAAATAATGCTAATTACTGAATATTGAATAGCACCTATTACAACTACTACAGGCAGTGGCTTGCCTTGGAGACATGCTAGTGAGGTAGTCACGATTTGGAGTAGATTTTTCAAGACACCTGGGTCCATTCCAACTTAAGATTTATATGTCATGTTCTCACCAAGGCTATGTCCACTTGCTGGTAAACGCAGGGTTCTGAGTAATTTTTGTCTCAGGATTTCTGTATCTCAAGTATATTTTTGATGCGTTCTTTGCTTCACGAGAACTGAGTCAGCAGACACACAGATCAGATTGGGTGTGATCACCAGGAGGTCAGCTGGAATTTCCCTCACTGGTGAGTTCACAGCTACAAGGGGTGTCTTTTTGTTTGTAGGCTTTGATCCTAATGTGAAGAACATGTGTTCAAGGTGTTTGTGGCGTACTCTGGCTTACTCAGGTCTCTCAAGTGATATGATCAAAAAATAAAAAAAAAGAATCAAGGCCCAGTAGCAGCCATGCTGGGTTACTGGCTTGGAAAAATCAGAGTGTATTCCACGTGGGTAACCAAAATTGAAGAAGAATATGCAGTCCTCGAATTCAGTATTGCTGGGGATGGGGCTTAGCACGTGGTTCTTGCTGGAGATCCTTCTGCAGGTGGCACTCGTCCTGGGCTGTGGCCTGTTCCAGATGAGTCTGTGGAGTTTTGGACCTGGAAGAGGAAACAAGTTGAAACACAGCCTGGTGGGGACCTGCCATGATAGCTGTGAAGATGTTCCCTCAATCCACCTCAGCTGTGCTGGACAGTGAATGTAATCTTTTGACTGATGTCATTGTTTGCAATCAAAAGAAATAAGATCCCAGAGTAGATGGGCCTAAAACTTTTCTCAGTCTTAAACACAAGTCATAGTTTTAAATAAAATCTGTTGGTTGCCCATTCCACTAGAAAGAATAGGATATTCTCCTATAATTCAGGGATATCATTTTGTAAACAGCAACAACATATTGATACTATGGTCAACAGCACATGAGAAATAAACGAATTGTACTTGAGATATTCATCATTTTATAGATAGCCTTAAACTGCCTGCAGCTTCGGTCCCTGCACAAGGGCATGAGGCTAGCTCAGTCCTCATGCCCAGAAGGAACCTTGACCATGAACATCATGCAGATAGATCCTGTCGTGCTAGAGCAGCATTTCCTGAGATGTGTGCCTGAGAACGTTGTCCCTGTCAGGGCTCTGGGACCAAACAGAAACTGGTGACGTCCTTGGGACTAGACTGGAAATCTTCATCCTGGCTTTGGGAGTCGGTTACAGAACACACCTGAGAGGGTTCTGATGTTCCCTACAGCTGAGTCGTCTGCCTGGGTTCATCCTGGGATGTCCTTAACCGTCTCTATCCAGAGAACGCTTTTCACAAGAAATGTGCCAATGTTACAGAGAGCAGTGTTAAAGATGGAAATCTCTTATCTACATGGGATTTTTTTCTAAATAAAAATGAGAATTCAACCATGTCCTGTGGTGCACACATTTAAACCCAATATCTTGGAAGGCTGAAACAGGCAGCTCTCTGTGAGTTCAGGGAAAGCCTTCTGAGAATTCAGTGTTCAGAAGGGAGGAATAGAGACCAAATTCTACAGACACACGGACTATCGAACACAGAATATACTGGACAGAATTTCTTCTTTATTGGACTAGCTCAGTTCTTTGAGGTCTTTTTTTACTAGCTCTAGCTGGGAGCCTCAGAGATGCACAGAATTGATATTGACCCTATGTCCATAGGGCCCCCTTAGCTCTACCTCCTCTTCCCAGTCTGGACTCCTACCTCATCTGAGAGACCTGAAAGTGATGCTGCAGCTTTTTGACCAAGTGCTTTTCCTGCATGACCATTTCCCTCTGCTTCTGCAGGAACTGAGAGCTTTCTTCCAATCTCTTGAGCTCCTGTTCAGTAGAAAATTGTGTTTTTGTTGAGGGTTATAGACAGTCATTCATATCTAAGCACAGAGAAAGGATCCCAATAATGTGCTGGTCAGCTAGGCTTGCTGAACAAAAGCATCTGGGGAAGTGAGAAACCCCCGTTTGTGGTACAGACTGACAGAAACACAGTGGTCTGCACTAGAAAATGCACAAGTTTGATGCATCACAACAAACACATTCTTATACTACACACAGATGTACGTACACACACACACACACACGTATGTACACACACACACAGATACAAACACACATGTGTGCACTCACACTCAAAACCCACAAGGAGTAAGTGTTAAAAAAAGAGAAATACGGAGAAAGGGAGGTTGCAGAAAGAACCATCATGGTCGATTAGCAGTTGAGCTTAGAATAACCACACCAGTTGTTTCAGAAAGTCTCACAACTCAGGATTAATTCCTTGGGAACTAAGATTATTGTGGGAAAAGTGATTTGCTTAGACAGACTATATTTGCCTGGTTAGAGAAATTCTTTCCCTATAGGCCCAAATCTCCCACCTTCCACCACCAGCTTGTCAAAAGCCCTGAGATGATCATCCAATCAACCACACATTTTTGTCTGGATGGGAGAACAGTCCAGCACCACTCCCAGAAAACAGGGCTGACAAGCTGCTACTCAGGATTCTGTTACTGTGAACCAAGAATTCAGAGAAAGCAAAGAGAACACATCGGGATGCGGGCAGAAAAGAGAAGTCCACAGGCCACCAACATCCCTGAGTATGAGAAGCACTCCTTGGGCAATGGCACAGGGATTGTGGCTTCGAGCAGAGCAGAAAGGAAGGCTTGCCCATATTTCAGTTTTCCCTAAGACACAAACTCCCCAGAAGTCCTTGTGCATGGACACTGAAGGTATTCCCTGGATAGCATGAGGTCGGTAGCAGGAAGGGAGGATGAAAGAACAAGTTGATGGGTTAAACACTGGTGGTTGGATGGGTGGAGAGGCAGTCAAATGGGCAAATGGTACCAGAGCTTAGCCTGACTTGTTGTCGGCCCCTACCTGTTGTTGCTGTATTTTGAGGTAACCGATTTCTTCTTCTTGGTCATTATGGATCAATTTCAAATCCTCCAGGTGGTACTTCAGCACGGTCCAATCATTCTGCAGTTTCCTTTCTTCTTGCCTCAGCTCATCCACCTTCTTCTTTAGCTGAGTCCTTTCCATCAGTAGGCGGCTGTGCAGATCCCTGGAGACACTCTGCATAGTAAGGCCGTGCAAACCTGACCCTGATTCCCCTGATTTCCCAGAACCGTCACCCCAAAAGGCCTCATGTGTCTTGGAATAGGTTGATAAGAGTCTGATAGAATCATGACAGCTACACTCTGAAACCCAAATGAGAGAACAGGTAATGCCAGAAATTACCAAACTACTAATGAAAACCCCAACACCTAAAAGGATCCATGTCCCTTCAGTAGAAGTAGTTCCCCAGCTGGCCTTACTGTCTATGGTGATGGGAAAACATCAACATGTAGTGGGCAAACACCCTCCAAGGGAGGACAATGGACCTAAGGTGAGCATATTCTATCTACAGGTTCCTCAGCCCATGACCTGTAAAATATGGGCCTGAGCTCCAGATGTTCAAGGCCGCCTGACATCCCCAAGAGTGTAAATACCTTTTCTGTCTACAGGCTCCTGATGAGTCACTAGGACAACGGTGGCAGGGGATGACAGTCTCTTCCATACTTAGCAAAACTGAGTCCAAGAGACACAAATTAAGAGTTGTTCGTGAGAAACAGAAATGCTCGAAACAGACTTGTGGACAACCCGTCCAGAGAAAAAGGAAGTCAGAGATGGCCATTCTACAAGTTTTGTGATTCATGTCCAGATGGACACTCACCGATAGAAGACTGTCTCCTTGTTCAGCTCCTTGAAATTCTCTAAGGTCTCGGTGTTCTCATTCTCGAAATTTTTTAACTCCATCATGATCTGTTTGTGATCCAACTTTGCCGTCTCGTACAAAGCATTTGGCTTATGCTTCTTGTAGGGACTAGAAAACGGGAGAAAATATCCCATGAAGATAGGCTTCAATGATCACGGGAACTCAAGTTGTATCCTGATCTATAGTAGCCCAGAGACTGAAATATTCTGTTTCCTATGTACTGGGACCCCCTGGTGCTATTAAACTTGTTATTCTGGTCTTAGGACAGCCAAGGCTCCACTAGAGATGGAGGGTACCCTGGGTGCATGAGCTCACTCAATAGGACTAGATGGTCAGTCTAGTTCTCTATGCTACCAGGAGTCTGTGTCACATGTCTCTGTAACGACACATTGCAATGACATCTCTCCTGTTTCAGAGCACTGATTCTGAGTCCTGGTTGACAATCCATGAACAGTTAGAGCACATCATTCTGGTTTGAGTCCTAAGAGCAGGGCAGTGATATAAACTCCCCTAGGGATTCCTAGGTGCCATCAAGGTGAGCACGTGGGACACAAGCAGTCCTGCTTTAAGTGGGGCTCCCAGGGCTCAACACTGACATCTTCTGGACAGTGGAAGAAAAATATGCACACATATGTACATGAGTGAATAAGGGGAGCTACAGAGATACAGAGAGGGTCAGCATCATCCATTGGATGCTAAGGAGATGCATGGTGCCCTGTTGTCTAACAGCATAATGGACAAAACTAGAGAGAAACAGCAAGGAGCCCCAGCACTTCCAGTTATACACTGAGATGTCCCAAGTCAATTCAGGCCCCTCCAGGTGCTAGCAGGTCATCCAGCACACAATCCCATGCCAGGAAAGTAGAGACTCCCCCAAAACTAAGAGAAGGCAGTAATAGCTCATGCAAGCCACCTTTGTAAGTCATGTCCTCTCCAAATACATGCTAGGAACTCCACAGTACTGGCCTCAAACCCTGAGTTGTGTGATTTGACCAGAGGTCCAGCTTTTCATTTGGAGAGAGTCAAAGTGTCAGAGGCCAAATCTCAAGCCCCCCTCACATTTCATGTCTGCCTGTCCCCTGAGAAGAATTTAGGACATGAGGTTTGGAACAGCCTCCTAGAAATAAAGATCTTCAAAGGAAGAAGGTGAGGGTGACACTGCCACAGCCCCATGAAGGTTGAAAGAATGGATACCTATTATCCACGGCTCCTTCAGTGAGGATCATCAGCCGGTCTTTCAGGTCATTTCTTTCCCTGGTCATCTGTTGCAGCTCTGTGGTCATCCTCTCCTCCTCCTTCTTCATCTGCTTCTTGCTTAGGAGCATTGGATGGGATGCTGTCTCTGTAGAGGTTTCTGTGTGTAGGCAGAAAACAAGTGAAATTGCAAAGAAAAACGGCATCGAAGATGGACAGACCACCCTGAGGATTAAACAAAAAACCATGTCTGGAACCAAGTGACAGCCAAAATATACTAGGCCCGGCTGACATGATGCCTGTGTGGACGTCAACTCTTCCATCACTCTAGTGATGTGGCTATGTAAGCAGCCAGGGCTTTCCCCAGTCTCCCTACAAATTCTTCAGGTGGCTACAGAGACCACCTTTTCAGGCATATTTACAGAAGAACAGGATATAGCAGCCCTGAAGCCTGCTGTGATGTAGAAGCCAGGAGAGAAATGGCAGAGTGCACAAGCACTCAGGTGTTGTGAGTAGCCCAGGTCTCATTGTTAATCAATCTAGGCCCATGACCGTGGATTGGAAAGTCATGTAGGGTTCCATCATGGTCAAGAGACTCACCTAGTCACCCATTGACAGCTCAGATCATTGAGGCTGACAGTCAGTAGTCATTTTCTGCCCTTCCCATAACTCTGATAGAAGTTTGGTCAGCTTTGATCTAACTGCCATCCTCAACTGCTGATTCAGAACCCTAAGGGGTCACTGTCAAGGAAAGGAGGTCAGAGGAATTCTGCTGAGCAGACTGCTGATCAGTCTGAGGATGAAAGGTCTTGGCCAGGAGCACATTTGTCTCCATGGTGACAGTGTTAGACTGCCAGTGAACCTAAAGGCAACTACTACAGGTGTAGTGTAGTGATGCCTGCCCAAAACTGGGGACACATTAGTCCCTCCCTGACACCTGCTGGTCTTTCTGTCTCAACATTACACCCCAAACCACAGCAAAGGTAAGAGCTAAGTGGTGGTCCCAACACAACAGCTTTGGTCTTTTCAACCTCTTGCTCAGGAGGTGGACAAACTAATGTCCTGGAATTCTTGACTTTCAGGAAGTATGATAAGCAGGGATCTCCAGTTTCGCCTCTGAGGCTCCAGCTCCCCTGTGCCACTATTGGAAATCCCACCTCAAGTGCACCTACTTTGACGATCACCCCATTTCCAGCCCATGACTCACTAGGCCTTTTCCAGAAGTGAACAGCAGCTTCCTTCTGCTTCTCTCTGGTCTCTGGACCTTTTCCATTCTGTCTCCCAAATACGCGATGCCTCAGTCTTGAGAACATGACTAATTCTCTACCCTCTAGGGACTGAGGAATGTCCTAATGGCGGTTGTTGTTGCTACAACACAGGTGGTATCATGGGATTCCAACAGATCTCCAGGATACAGTAGAATGTCCAGAGATGTGACCGCTGATGTCATGGGGAACAGCATTTGCCACCGTGCTAATGAGATTTCCTAACTGACCAGAAGCCCAGCTTACCTTTCCAGAAGCCTCTCTGGAAACACAGAGGAAGCCAATCAGCACCTGCTCTTCCAAACCCAATGCCCCATTAGCTTTATTGGAAGACCCATGACATTTCCCATGTTGAGAACTGAGATAATATTTTAAAAGATTTCTGAGAAACGTCTCATTCTTTCTTCAAAACCCTCGACTCATCAATACGAGGAATTAAATATTCCCAAGAAACTACTTTAAGGTGAACATAAATGAGGAAAGTTTACCTTCCTCAAGAAAGTGTTAGAAAGCACATTAAGGAAGAACCTGCTGGCTGGGTACTGTGTGAGCCTTGGGTTAATGGTGCTGTCTTGGATACCACATGATTTACTTTAGAAAATTGCCCCTGGATTTCTACGCACATAGAGAATGCACCCATCAGGGTGTTGATAACAGTGTGATGATCCATTGGCAGAGGAATCTACAATAGTGGGTTCACCAAGAGAAGAAGCCCACAGGCTGAATGCAGTGCTCTCTTCTTGCTCCAAAGACAACAATGCAGGACAGTTGCAGGTCTCAGTGCGTTACAGTGAGATTCTGAATAGTGGGAAAATAATCAACAGACACGCCTCAGTTGCAGAGTGGCTGCCTAGGATGTAGCAATTGTTGGGTTCAATGACCACTGCTGTCCTCACTGGTCTTGATGGCCCCACTTGTAATCTTACCATCTGTGAAGTAGAAGCAGGACGATCAGAGCTCAAGGTGAACCTGCAGAGCCAGTGTGAGTAAAGCATGGGAGACATGAGACCCTGTCTCAATCAATAAAACACTAACGCACCCTACCTCCAAGGCCTCACCTAGCAATCCTTTCTTTCTGTAAGGGCATTTCAGATGGACTTTCTGTAACCTATGGTCTCTATTTCACAACTTAACCACAGCATCCTGAGTGCTGGACTCGCAGCAGCATACTGATCCCCCGGAAGTCAGCTCCTTTGCAGTCGTCCTGAGTTTTAGTCAGATGGGTAAGAGCAGGCTTCCCAATGTACCCAGATAGGAAATTGATTGAGTCCTCAATAAAACCAGGAGTTCTAGAGGGTTCAGCACATAGCATGGTGCAGAGCAGTTGCAATCCTGGCCTGGGTCTAGAGTCCCTGAGTGGTTCCTGGTTGAGTCCTGTCCCACCTGCCACATGGTATAGCTCAGAGCTGTTTCTGTCTGGTAGCCCAGGCACAGCCCATTTCTTCCTTTGCTCAATGAGGCACTTAGTATCTTGTATACCCTTCCCCACCACACATTTATTTCTTCTATTGTTAATTTCCCAAGCCGGCCATCTTTTAGTGAAGAACAAGTTTGTGTCAAAGATTTCCCAGAAAATTCTAAAAAGAAACAGATGTGAATGTCCCAGGGCTCATGAATATCACTGATGTGACTGCTCACCCTAGGAGGGAGTTGTCACTGTGGAAGGTGTAACATGACAGAGCCTGCTTGTCAGGGTATCTGTCCTGCCCAGTACCTCACAGTCAGCAAGTCCCAAAGAAAATCACACACAGGACTCCATAAGGTTATAAACAGATGGACCCATTACCTCAGTCTTCTTATTAACTAATTCTTACATCTTGTGGTAACCCATAATTCTTGTCTGTGTTAGCCATGTGGTTCAGTACCTTTTCCAGTGGGGCAGGTTACATCTTTCTTCTCTGTCATCTAGGCAGGACTGTGGATGGAGCTCCCTGTTTCCCAGAATACTCCCGTTCTCTTTGCTCCACCTCTACTTCCTATCTGGTTGTCCTGCCTATACTTCCTGCCTGGCCAATCAGCATTTATTTAAAATATGATTGACAGAATACAGACAATTCTCCTGCACCAGAAGGTCACACCAGGAACAGGACAATGATGTTGGAAAAATACTTTAAATTCTAAAGGAGACACATTCATCCTCCCTTCTTTCTTCCTTGGCTTATTTTCCCCATCTGCGCTTGTTATGCCTTCCCATAGGCCCTTCTCCTTAACTGTGCTTGTGATTTATCACCTGGTAATTTTCTTTTTTTTAGATACAGGTTCTCAGGTAGTCCAGGCTGAGCAATAATTTGCAACTAAGGATAATCCTGAGCTACTGCTTTTCTTGCATCTACCTCCTTAGTGCTGGCATTCCCAGTGTGGACCATCACACCCAACTTACATAGTGCTGAAAACCAAACCCAGAATGTCATTCATACTAGGGAAGGACTGTACCAACAAAGGCTCATCTGTAGACACTCACTGGTTATGTGCTAATGTCCAGGAACATGTCCTGTCTGACATTAAATCTTGTGAATTCAGAGTGAGCTTATTAACTTTGACTATTGCAAATGCGTGTACAATGTTATGTAATATTTTAGAAGGAACTATTATGGTCTATATCTATTAAGAAGCTTATGAGCTAAAGGCTTTGTCACTGGAAGTAACTCTGTGTGCTGTGATTACCATTAATGAACAAAGAAACTTCCTCCGACCATTTAAAGGGCAGAACTTAGATATATTGGGAAGATGGAACTGAATTCTGGGAGGAAGAAGGAAGATTCAGAGAGATGCTATCGAGCTGCCACAGTCAGACATGCTCAATTGTTGCTGGTAAGCCACTGCCACGTGGCAATATACAGATTAATAGAAATGGGTTAAATTAAGATGTAAGAGTTAGTCAATAATAAGCTAGAGCTAATGGGCCAAGCAGTGTTTTAATTAATATAGTTCCTGTATGGTTAATTCCTGGCTAAGTTAGCAAGTGGCCAAGATAAATAACCAGCTGACCTTCGTCCTCCTCCAAGGGAGGTTCTGGAAACTTCAGAAGGTGTAGCCTACCTAGAGGAAGTATATCTTTGAGGGAATGTGTTTGGTGGCTGGGTCTTGTCCTCGACTCCTACCTCTGTCTCTCTCTGTCTCTCCCTCTCTCTCTGTCTCTCCCTCTCTTTATATATCTCTCTCTTTTTACCTCCACCCTTTTCTCTCTCTGCCTTTCTCCCTTTCTCTCTCTCTCTCTGTTTCTCCTCCTTCTCTCTCTCTCTCCCTCTCTTTATATATATATATATATATATATATATATATATCTTTACCTCTACCCTTTTCTCTCTCTGCCTTGCTCCCTTTCTCTCTCTTTCTGTTTCTCCTCCGTCTCTCTCTCTCTCCCTCTCCCCCCCCATCCCTCTCTCTGTCTCTCTCTCTTTCCTGGCTGTGGTGAGCAGATCACTTTTCTTTCACTGTGATAAAATGTTTCCTTATAGGAAAAGGGACATGGGCCCTTCTTGTAAAGGACAGCAATCAGTCGAAATTAATCCTGCCTCTTTAAGAAGTTTTCATGGGGGGGGCATTCCTGCCACAGTAATAAAACGTGTAAGCAACTGACATAAATGTAGTGAAAATTTGTTAAAGCTTCATTTAAATGCCAGATAATAAACTCCATAGGGCAACAAAGCATGTGGAAACAAAGCAGTTTGGGACACTGGAGGGTTGTAAAGACTAAATTGATTTAACCTCATGCCTCTGTGATGTCCACTGTCTGAGATGAAGCTTAATGCTCAGAGAAGCTCTCTGCCTTTGCGTGGGGCACCAGTTTTTGTAAAATGGAAGAGCTTCATGGAAGGGCAGGTGACAGTAACATGCTCACAGCTGTCTCTCTGACTGGCATTTAGCGATGCCAGTGTGTAGAGTGAGTGGTCTAAGAGGAGACCTTCCCAATGCAATGTGTACCCTGCATCTGGGTCAGACGGCACTTGTGAAGACATCTGTTATGTCCTCCTACACTCAATGGCCTCCCTCAACTCTGTTCCTGATCAGCGATGTCCTTTTCTCATTCAACAGGTTTTGTTCATGTGGACTTTTGGTCTCACTGAACTGTCATGATCTCTTTAGGGCAGATCTCAGGGACTGGTGCATGTTCAAAAGAAGTTCAAATGGTTTCTAAGAGCAAGGAAATTGTCAATTAATGGCTTGTTTTCATTTATGTGCTTTGGGTGAACCTCAGTCCTTTGAGTAGCTCGCTAGCCTGATATGGGCACAGTCTATCAGAGCTGGTAATCCCTAACATTAGAGCCCCGGATCCAAACTCAGACTCCAGGGTTCAAATCTAACTCTGCCACTTTACAAGCTCTGCAGTGTTGGACCAGACAGTTTCCCCTTTATGATAAGTAAGTATTGATCTCCACTTCAGTTCTCCTGGTACAATTCACCCAGTATTTCTTCTAAATTGCACTGACTACAGCTTGTAAAGTATTACTTACCAGTGAGGAAGCACTGCTCTCTGGTGCTAGAAACAGCATCTGGAGCAGTGCCTGGAACATCTCAGGAGCCTGATAAAAGAATTCCCTTCCTATTCTTCCTGATTCCAGGACTTTATGGACCTCAAGCAGTTGGTGCCAATGGGGTCTAGAAAGGCACAGAACAAGGATAGAGATGTTCCTTTTGAGAGATACTGGACCTGAATCCTCATGGGAGATGACTGAACCTGGGTATAGGAGTGAGAGGCAGTGGAGACGGGAAGGTCTTGTTGAACAAGGTCACATTTGAAGAACAGCCTGAGTGTTTGGAAGTACGTGGAAAATGCGGGACTAGAAAGGGAATCAGATGGAACTTTTGTTCTCCACAGGCCCACAGTCTGGTGAAAAACACCCAGGCGATGCCCTGTCCAGATATCAGAGCTTCTCACTATGCTCTCCCTGCTCCCTCCTCACGCTGTCAGTCAGCACATGTGGTCCACTCCCTAAGGGTGACACAGTTCAGTACCCACAGAATTCAGGGTGGCATTGGGTATTAAACATGGGAATGGCGGTGCAGTAGTATAGTAAGAACAGTGCAATGACAGAGAACCGGAGGGTTCCCAACATCATCTAGAGATTCTGATCTAGA